GTTCTCCCACGGGGTAAGGGCAGCAAAACTGAGCATAGAGAAGAGATTAAAAACCCAAGGCAACAAAAGATAAACCCTGTGTATCCAACCCTTCAAATAATGATTTATAGTGCCCCTGAGCAATTCCAATGGTAAGGCAAGAAATCTGTTTAAGCATGATCAGACCAAAAACCCAAAATAGCAACAGGAGACCCTGAATCAAAACAGCAAGACACAAAATATACCAAAAAAACTATTATCGCTGCAAGCCAAAGATAGAAACCACCGTATAGCCATAACAAAAGCTAAGCCTAGCGACTCAGATTTTGTGCCGAATTAAACAGGACTAAATGGAGGATCTTCATCCTCATCTCCCGAGAGGAATGCGCTAACCAATTGTTCATCAACTTTGCAAAATGATATGAAAATTGGGAATTTAGATCCTTCTATTTGAACCATTCGCACCTTCTCCACGCTCTTCACTGTTTCTCGAGTTGCTCTAATTGTCTTCCCTGACATGTTGTAAACTTGACCCATTTTGAGTTTATCCAGCACCGTTTTCTTAGCTAATGCCTATTTGATTTGACACACTACTGCTCCTAAGACGGTATCAAAATATGTATCAAATGCTGGTTGAAAGAGTCTCTGTGCCATCAATTCTTCCTCAGGCTCAGTGTAAGATCCATCTTCTATGCATTTTACTTCCCTCGAGGCCAGGCCAATGTCATGCTCAAACAGGCTAGAGGAAATAGATTGCCTCAAATGCTCTTCCTTCCCTCCCTGGGCTTGTAGCTCCTAAAAATCAATCTCAAAAGGCAGCAAAATAGGTGCTGTTTCTTCAACGCAAGTAATGGCCTTATCCCCTGCCTCGGTCCCCCTCTGTAGCTTCAAAGTTTCCTTTAGACTTTTGAGGAAGAGGTTTATTCCTGCATTTTTGGTACCTACTAGGATGCAAATTCTAGACATATCTTTATCAAATCCCCCACTAAGCATAACAAATTCCCCATACTTGTTTGAATCCCAGTGGGATTTAGTGGTAAGTGCTTCCTCATAACTTGAGATAAGCCACCCCTTCCTTGCAAGAGGAGGGTGGTTTAAAGACTCTAAAAGCCAAGCAGCAGTAGAACATGAGAGAGAGAGAGAGATCAAATTTTACCATGCTTGAATTCGGAGATGGAGATGTGAGTATCTGAGGCCTGGAACTCGAATGCCTTGCTCTCTATTGATATTCATTCCCCGGCAATTCTCACAGTTTCATGAAAGTTTACTTCACAATTTTTTACACCTTAATCTTTTTATTTTTATTTCTATTACGCATTTTATGCAATGAGTATTGCACCTTCATGTCTGCTTACTGCATTAAATATTATCCACTGATTTGGTTTCATGAATGCTTCTCTTATCATTCTCCAATTATTTGATATTATTTGTTTTTTTAGAGTACTGTTCCGTGTCCTGTATTGCATAGTCATGGTCTTCGTATGTTTGTGGTTTCTTTTCATTAGGTTTTTGGTCAATTTCAAACACTTCATGAATTCATGCTCCATGATGTTGCAAACCCTCTGTGCTTATATATTCATATATGTTACTTTATTTCGCATTGTTTTGCATCCTGTATTGCATAATCAGATATAAGTAGTGCATTAATCAACACGTTTATCTCTCTATCGGCAGTGCACACATCTACTTCTCCAAATGAAGACACACCCCATACAACAGGAATTATTTCTTCTTCATCCATGCCCTGAAGAGTCCAAGCCTAAAGTGGGAATGGTGTTCAAATCCTTGGAGGACGGATTTAATTTTTACAAGCAATATGCCTCACTGGCAGGTTTTGATATCCGAAAAAGCACTAATTTGAAGGTTTCAGGTGTTATTGTTTGGCGGTACGTTGTATGCAACCGTGAGGGTCATAAACATTTTGCACCAATTCTTAACAAACCCACTCACGATGATGGAGTACCAAAGGCAAAACAGAGGAGACGCATTTCAAATCGTGTTGATTGCAAGGCGCGTGTGGCGTTTAGGCTCGTGGCTGGTGTAGGGTACACCATATCGTCATTCATAGAAACGCATAACCATCCAATGCTGTCCATTCCATCTAGACCCTTTCTAAAAATCAACAGAAACTTAGAAATTGGCCATAAGAAGTTTATGTTGAATTGTGCAAAGGCAAACATTGGGCCAATGAAGTCATATAGATTGTTTAAGGAATCAGTTGGGGGCTACGATAATGTGGGTGCCACTGCCGTTGACTTCAAAAATTTCAAACGGGACTTGAAGGCATACATTGCAAGCGCTGATGCTCAAATGCTCATTGACAAACTATTCAGAAAGAAACAAACATGCTCTGCATTCCACTTTGATTATGATGTTGATGAGAGTGACCAGCTAACCAGGGTATTTTGGTGCGATCCTATCGCTAGGAAAAAGTACGCAATGTTTGGAGACGTCATTTCGTTTGACGCAACCTTAAACACAAATATGTATATTCTCTAATGCCTTCTGTTATGCCTTTAAGAATAAGTATAATACTGTTAAACTAGCCCTGTCAATATCCGTTGCACACCTTCTGTTCTTACATATTCTTATTATTTCGCATTTTTTGTAATTTGTACTGCATAATCATTTTTTGCGTAATGCACTAAATACGCGTTTTTAGTGTTTGAACTACTTTGGTGATGGTGTGTTACCCGTGGTGCAGGTACAAAATGGTTTTTACGCCATTCACCAGTGTAGACAACCACCGCAGGTGTGTTACTTTTGCAGCTGGTCTGCTGCGCAAAGAAGATGTTCCTTCATACACGTGGTTGTTCAATCGCTTCCTTGATGCAATGGGTCATGCCCCACAATGCATAATCACTGACCAAGATGCTTCTATGGCTATTGCTATTCCAGAAGTATTCCCAGAGACAATCCATCGTCTCTGTATGTGGCATATTACGAACAAGATTACGGCCAAAGTTGACAATGAAGTAGGCAAAGATTAGGTCTTCTTGACAAGGCTTAATTCTGTGATATGGAATCATTACCTTGAGCCCAAAGAGTGGGAAAAACAATGGCATGAGGTATTAGTTGACTATGAGCTCGAATATGATTCATGGTTTTGTAATCTATTTGCTATTCGTACAAGCTGGATTCCTGCATACTTTAGAGATTTGTTCATGATTGGTTTACTACGCACAACATCACGTTCTGAGAGCGAGAATAGTTTTTTTGGTGACTTCAAAAATAACTACTTCACGCTTGTCGAGTTTTATATACAATTTGAAAGTGCTATGGACTCTCAACGGTATAAAACCGCAGACTTGGATACAGACTCAGAAGCGTGTATCCCTGTTTACAAAACTCCGCTCTCCATTGAGAAACATGCATCATCTGTCTACACTTTGACCATCTTCTACGAAGTACAATCAGAGATATGCGCATCATGCTTCTCATGTAGTGTGTTGCAAGTTGACAAGAAGGAGCATACGTTATCGTATGTTGTGCAGGATTCCCGAGGTATGGATTTCAACGTTGAACACTCCACCTTAGACGACTCTTTCTCTTGCACATGCAAATACTGGCAGCGCATTGGTCTACTGTGTAGACACATATTTTTGCTATTCAAGGTCTTGAAAATTAAAATGATTCCAGAACGTTATATCACAAATAGGTGGTGCAAATCACCACTCCTAAAGCCAATGATTGAAGTTTCTGGTCTGGACTTTGCATCGGAATCATCCCTTGACGAAAACAAATTAATGCTGAACCGCTTATGGTCTAACATTCACTCCTGTGTTGCTCTAATTGAAAACAATTTCGACTTATTATCTGCTTTCTCCAATGTAATCTCTGAACAAAAGGAACTCATTGAATCGGCTATTGCCTCTCATGACGTCACTACGTCAAAAACAGATGCTGACAACTGTTTCTTTTAGTAGTCTCACGGTGCTGATTTCAGTAGTCTTCCGAGCAGCTGTCTGATATATTTACAGACTATTGTTTAAAAACAGTTGTGTAAAATGGTTGACGACACCTGTTTTGTAATGTTTTAGAGTACGACTTTTTAGTGTTGTCCTTGTATGAGTAAGACATCTGTTTTTTAGAGTTAAAGAGAACTGTGATTTTTTGTTGTCTATCTATAATGAATACTACTGTTGTTTTTAACTTTAGACTTCTAATTCTTGGTGTTGTCGTTCAACAATATAGACATCTACTTTAAAAAGTAATTAAAAGATATATCAGACTGCTGCTCGGAAGACTACTAAACAAAAATGTTATGAGACAACTGTTATCTTTTGTTGTATTTCTAGAATATGGACTACTAACATTATTCTTATTCAAACTACTATTTGTTTTAGTTGTATATTGATTATTAACACAACGGTGTTTTGTGGTTTTTCTTGAAGTATTCAAACTATCGTTTATGACAGTAGTTGAATTTTTTATAAGACAGCTACTCTAAAGACTACTAAAGAAATTTGCTTCAGACAACCATTATTTCGCATTGTATTTTAAAAATATGAACTACTGTTTTTGTAGTATTTCAAAAAACTGTTTGTTTTGATCGTCTAAATGTTATTAATACTATGAGTTTGTGTAGTTGTACATATACTCTTCAAACTATTAGTTTGAATGATAGTTGAATTTTTTTATTAGACAACTGTTATTTTGTGTTGATTACCAAATAAATATAAATTCAAAAAATACAATATATTGAACAATATATAAATTCATACATTTAAAATACTATTAACATGTAATAATTTAATATTTACATCATCTTCCTTACAATTTGCATATTCTACATGCCTGCCTTTTCAATCCATCCTATTCCTCTGTGGAAAAATCCAATACGAATCCGTATTTCACGTCGGCTTTGGCTAGGCGTTCCATGGCGGTGTTGACATAGTCCATCGGCACAATCTCAACATCGGGCGTGATGTTATGTTGGCTTGAGTCTCCTTTAATTTATTCCAGTGATGCCATTTCTTGCAACCAATTTTCAGCCTGCGATCCACAATCAAAACATGAAATTAATGTCATTTAGTTCATTTTAGATCAATGCCAAGGCAGAGCAGAGATATGTACAACAAGTGAATGGAAGTGTGGCTAATATTACATACCCATGATGAAGGGAAACGCCAACAAGTCAAGGGGTTTCTCCGGGAGACCAACCAATACAAGCTTACCATTGGTCTTCAATAAGCTTAGTAGTGGCGTAAGAGGATGAACTGCAGAAACTGTGTCTATTATCCCATCAAGTGTGCTCTTTGTAGCCTTTTTTCCACATATACCAAAACCAATTATAAACCATATCATCATCAGAATTGTTAGCGAAATGAATAATAATACTCTTTAATTATGAATAAATTAATCATAACTTACCTGCATTTGTTCAAGGTCACAACTGATCAAGAAGGAATCAACACCAAAACGTTCTATGGCCTCTTGTTTTTTGTCGGCAGAGGTGCTGATGACAGTAACCCGAAGGCTTTAGTGTACTTGACAATTCCTTAAGATTATGAAAAAGATATGATAAACCAAAATCAGTTTCACTTACAAAATCAACCCGAATTGTTTTAATTTTCTCTTGAAAATTAGCTTCAAACTCAGCCTGTTTTTAAAAATCATGCCTGAAGGGTTTAGTTTTCTTTTGTAAATCAGCTTCGACATCAGTTTCCTTTAAAATTTCTGCCCCCAAAGTTTCACTTTCTTCCTAAATATGAGCTTTACAAGTCCTAAATTCAGCCCCTAACTCATTTTCTGTGTCAAACTCACCTCTTAAAGGTTCAATTTTATCTTGAAAATCAGCTTCACAACCATATTCATTTGAAAAATCAGTCCCTAGAGCTTCAGTTGTACCTTGGAAAACACCTTCAAAATAAGATTCTTTATGAAAATCAGCCCTAAAAGTTTTCCCTTTCCTTAAGGATCAAGTACAAAATTAGATTCTCTTTCAAAGTTTGTTTTAACAATTTGCTTTTGGTAGTGAAAATCAAATTCCAAATCAGATTCACTCCCAACGCACAAAGCAACAAAAACAACAAAGCCAGAGTAATCCCACAATTGGGGCACGGGAAGGTAGGATATACATAGGCATAAACTCTACCCACATAACATACAAAACACATAACATAACATATAAAACATCCAAAGCCGCAGCAGCTACAAACAACAGACAAACCAGGTAGATTCAAACGAATAACATGAGTTCGTTGTTGCCCGAGCTAAAGGAAAATCAGTGGAATCACATCCAGCATTGAATCACAAATCTAGATAAGGAATGATACACACCCTGAATCATGACAAAAAAGCACCAAAATTCGGAGGAAAACAAAAGCATAAACCTGGGGATTTGGAGTCTCAACCTTCCGCTATGAACAGTAAATTCGAGACAACCAATCGCTCAAATCATTGGAATCTTAACATGGATTGGAAATCCAGTTTGAGATTCAAAGAGAGCTCCCATATTCGCTAGTGAGTCCCCAAAACTTCCGCTCCATTTTAGCAAGAAGATGGCCAAATCGGATTTCAAAATTTTGCCGATAAACGATGTCCAGTGAGCCGTTGACCTTCAATTCTTACATATCCGACCAGGCAAATCACCGATTGAACTCTAATATGGATTCCTTTGTTGAGGGCGAATCCAGATGTTCAAAAATCTCAAGAATTGAGCATGAAATCAAGGAGAAAGCAGCGGATTTGGTTGGGCGTGAATAGTCTCACGATTTGGTTGGGTGTGAATAGGGGCTAGAGTGAATCTCTGGTCATAGCGAGAATGAACGGTGGATATTACCTAAACAAATGGCGGTATATTTCCCTCTCTCATTTTTGTCAAAAATTTTCCCTTCCCTCTATTGTTTTCATTCTCCCACTCTTAAATTCTACTCCTTCTTTCCCAAACCAAACTTTACATTTTATTTTTTGTTCTATTTTATTATTTTAGATTCTTTTTTACTTTTTATTTTTTTAAGTTTTTTTACTTTTTTATTTTTGTTGTTCTAACTTTTTTTTGTTTTTCTTTCTTTTATCTAGTTTTGAATTTTACGACAAAATTGATAAACTTTGACCACTTAAATAAAATTGATTTTAGATATTGTTACCAAATAGTTTTATATTTATTTTATAAAATACTTTCAAAATATTATTATTTATTAATTAATTGACCATATTATTTTTATTTAATTCGAGGTAACCACAACATTTTCACCTTTCTTATACCTTTTTTAATCACTATGAACTTTAAATTGTAATATTTCTTTTTTAAATTTAACTTGTTAACCACTATCTATCTAGTTCTTGTTAGATTTAATTTCAAAAAAAAATTAAAAATCATTTTTCAAACTAGTTTATTTTAAATTTTTAGTATATACATTTCATCATTTCATCTAAACTAGTTTGTTTAGATGATATCAAATCAAATCATTTCTTATCAAATAAGATTAAATCAAATCAAATTAAAAGAATTTTAAATATAACTACAATTAGATCAAACAGATTAAATCTATTCCAATTAAATCAGTGAAGATTAGATCTAATAATATCTAATGAAATCGGGTCTCATCATATCAGATTAGACTAGATCAAATTAAAAGAGTTTTTAATATAACCAATCGGACTAATTAGATTAAATCGGACAAAAACAGATCTAATCGGAATAAATTAAAGTCAAATCCAATAAGATCAGATCAAATCTTCAAAAATATCGAATCAAATCAAATTAAAATCTTGTAAGATCAAATCAAATATTTAAAAAATCAATTTAATTGTATAGGTCGTGTCATATTTGCCTAATCTAATCCTTAAATGCATCATATCGGATCTAATTAGATTGAATCAGACAAAAATAGATCTAATCAGATCAAGTAAAATTCAAATCTATTAAGATCAAATCTATTAAGATCAAATCAAATCTTAAAAAATAATTTAATTATATAGGTCGTGTCCTGTTTGCTTGATCTAATCTATAAATGCATTAGATCAGACCAAATTAGATCTAATCAATTTACTTGTCAAGGTTGTGTCTTATTTTCCAGATATAATCTTTAAACGCATTAGATCGGACCTAATTAGATCGAATCAGACCAAAACAGATCTAATAGGGTAGGGTCGAATCAAATTCCAATGCAATTCGAAAATCTATCCACTTGTATAGGTTGTGTCCTATTTGTCTGATCTAATCTTTAAATGCATTAGATTGGATCTATTTAGATCGAATCAGACCAAAATAGATCTAAACGGATCAAATCAAATTCAAATCCAATAAGATTAGCTCAAATCTTCAAAGAAGATTTATTCACTTGTGTAGGTTGTGTCCTATTTGCCTCATATAATCTTTAAATACATCAGATCGGACCTAATTAGATCAAATTAGACTAAAACAGATTTAATTGAATCCAATGAAATTCAAAGCCAATAAGATCAGATTAAATTTTCAAAAAGATATATTCATTTGTATAGGTTTTGTCTTATTTGCGTTATCTAATCCTCAAATGCATAGGATTTGATCCGATTAGATCTGTTTTGGTCTGATTTGATCTAATTAGACCAGATCTAATGCATTTAAAGATTAGATCAGGCAAATATGACACAAATTAAGAAAAAAAGTATAACTAATTTATTACTTTATTATTATAGTGGTAAATGTTAGGTATTTTCACTATTTATTTTTTGGAAACCCATCCTGTACTATTAAGAAAACGGTTTAGTTTGATTTGGAATATAATTTGTTAGATCCATTTGAAAACTCACTTTTCGGTTCGGTACATTATTGTTCCAGTTTGAAACAATATCAAACTGGTATTTTTACGTACCCCTAATTGAAAGTGGTACATAAGAGTGAGAAAATTTATGGACAAAAAAAACTTTTTTGTTTCAAAAATTAGATTGCTGCTTGTAAAAATTTTCAAGTTCATCACAAATTTTAGAATCCCTCCCGATTTTCCATTACCCGCCTAATATGTGCCCCCAATTTAGCAATTAGGTCTATAGCATCCCCTTCAGAATATCTCTTCTCCTATAGAGATAATTTCCGTCGTTTTCTTCAAAATCATAGCCATCTCTTGTACTTGTCCGATAGAGAGAGATCGGTTGTAATCGACAGAGAGAACCTTCAGAGATTGAGAAAAAGGACGCGAGCAAATGATCTATTAGGGTAAAATGCTTCAACTAGTCACTTATTCTAAGTTGTAGTGTATGAATCTATTTTTTTCTATCTAAAGTGAGATAAAATTTGTGGCGAGAATATGAACTATGTTATGTATTTCCAGCGTCAATTAACTATGTTATAGGCTTGAATGTGCTCTAGATTTTTTGTATGTTGGTTGAGATTAAGGGGCCTTTTGTTGCCTATAACTGAAATTGTGATTCAATTATTTCGTGGTGATCCTCCTAAAAGTTGTTCTTCGATTTTACTGTTCTTGTTCTGCGCTTGTTCATGCCAGCATGAGCCTGTGACACTGGAAGTCCCTTAGTCCAATATTTAAAAAAAGGTTCATTCATGATATAACTTACTTGTTAATGCTTCTATCCACTCTTCTTAATGATATGACAATTCACATCTTCGTCTCCTTCATACAAATTTTTTTGTCACTCTGCAATTGTTAATTCTCGAAGTAGTCAAATAGACTAATTAATTATATTCAATACAAATTAATGTTAGGTAATAATGTGATCTTGGAATACAACACTCCCCCAGCTATGTTGTTCTTGAAGGATGACAGTAATAAGCTTTTGTTTGGGGGTTTCTTGGACCACTTATTGGCACTTCTTGCTGAGTACATTTCAGGGAGAGGCAATGCAGTGTGGTTTGGGCAGTGTTTGGGCTCCTCCTCACGGGTGCCACTAGTTTTTGGAGGCTGTTTGGCCACTGCTAGAACTACTCAAGACAGATTGCCGGATCCTATGTGGCTCTTTCGCATTGATTGGCTGGTACTTGAAGGTGGTCTACTCAATGGTACTTGGAGGTGCACTTGGGAGTCAAATACCTTAGATGAGAGGTCATGGACTGTATTTTGGGGCAATGATTGGACTGCAAGCTGAAACTGAACTATGGGGCACTGGTTTGCTGCTGGTTTTGCACCGATTTGCTGCTGGTGTTGCTGATGTACTTGGCCAAAAGCACTGCTAAGAACACTGCCAGGAAGCTGCTGGTTTTGGTTGTGTTTCTAGAGTGTTTTGAGCTGTTGTTTTGACTGGCCCAACCATAGGCAGTGGCACACTCTTGAAGGGAGTTGTGTGGCCATTGTTTGACACTTGATGGGGCTGGTTTGACCTTTTTGTGACATTGATTGAGGTTCCACTACTACATAATAGACATTTAACATCGCCCCATACCCATCG